CAGATCTATGTATAATTAACTAGGTTGCTTGTATATGTATTGTATTGAGCTCGTCTTTTTAAACGTAGTGGCTATAACAGGTCCTCCTATTGTATTTTAAGATAGAAACAAACATACTTAGAATAGTCCTATTATATATAACATCAAGGTGCTTTTGCAGCTTCTAAAGCTACTTAAGCAAGTAGGTGTTATACTCTGCAAACAAGAGCTTTTTTAGGACAAGTTGACTAGGATAAAATACATTTATTACTCTGATGGTAGAGATGCTAGTGCTAGCCTAGATTAGGTTTGAAAGAATAGGAAGCCTCCTGTGGGGAAACAATAGTAGTTAGGGTAAAAGATAAGGCGGATAAGGCTGTTGTTCCCTTATTTATTTGTTACAAAAGCATGAGCAAGCATATATTATTTTAGAGCTTCCATAACACTATTCTCACCTTCTGCGCTGCATGCTTAATGCCCTTAGCCAGCTTCTTTTACCTGTTAATCCCAGATATCCTCACATATTAGAAGGCTCGACCCATCTGGTTGAGCCTTTTAACATGAAGAGAAGAGTATCTGGGCCTATGCTGTAATATTTGCTCAGATAATTCTCTAATAATTCTGAGACCTAGAGTATTTTTTTGCGTATATGACAGGTGTGGTGACAAATCAACATAATCTGATGTGATCAATGCTGTTTCCATATATGGTAACTTTTCTGAAGGATACAAGTTAATATCTAAGATCAGATATAAATAATTATAAACAATTTTGAATAAATAATTATAAACAATTTTGATGTGGTAAGACTCGGAAAACAAGATGTGACACTGGTATGTGACATCAAAGGGTTCGTTATACTCATTGATGTGATACATATTGATGATCAAACATTGGTTCCAGCTCCAGACATGCTGCTACACAATATTATATGAGGTAACAGGTGTGACATATCTCCCAAAAAGGAAATTTCCGCCCATTTGACTGTACAATCATCAGAGAATGTCACATATCATCACAAAATCAAAGTTGTGCATTTTGACTATACGAACAACTTTGATTAAGTGACCTACAGTGACAGCTCAATAAATACGTTAGCAGTGACCTATCACTAGCTTATATATAACTGATGAGCCTCTATCTCCATAGCTGCTTGAGCTAACAACATGAATGAAGTACTCAAAGGAATGGTCTTAAAAGTCCTATTAATTAATAACATATTTGATTATTATCATCTGAATATGATTATGATATTGACCATTTAGTCATTAAAAAAAGAATACCTAGTACTTAAAAATGTAAGGTGCCTAAGTTGTGAGTTTGGCTGTAACATGAGGCTCTGGTGTGTATCCTCTTAGCTCCCAGTGAATAGAGCACTAAGAATGTAATGCATTCACTGATCAGTGGCCTTTGATCTCCATCACCTTTTAAAAATGAGCACAGATCTCCATCTATCCTTAGTGGATAAAGTTGGAAGGGTGTTCATTTGAAATGTATACCATCCTGCTATCCCTGAGACCCCTCAGTGAAATTTTCCGTCACCATTGCATTAATCTATTCACTGTTAAGCATGCCTGAATACTAAATTAAGCAGTATTTTGCTAATATCCTAAGACTATATGCATGGAATCTCATGATCTAAGTTGATATGATATCATGGAATGGTTGAGCATACCTCCACTCATTTCCTACCATAGAGCAAGTGTTAGAGCTGGTCAATTCCTAAATACCTTGAGTGCTATATAACCTAGGATAGAGATATATTAGAGGGGTAAGCGCACCAGTTTCTAGGAGGTGGACCATGCTCCTACTATTACATATAACTAGATTTCCCAGATTTGCACAGGTCATGCTATGGTGAACCCATCATTATTGGGATAGATAATACTGATAGTGGTACTGTGAGAGATTCAGGATAGCTATGAGGTTGATTCAAGTGCTAGATAGGCTCATTTGAGGGTCTATACCATCCTACATTCAAGTCTTAGATCACACTTGAAATTATTTTCTGACCAGTTGTAATAGCGAAGGCACTCTCTTTTGCTTTATGGGTACCTACCCTCTCTTCAGTTACCTTTAGTGACACATGGCAGAACCATGACTGATAATAGTTCAGGGTTCTAGTAGACATCTAAATATCTTTATACACCCACCTCAAGGTTTAATACTCAGTTTATAGACTTTACTATTTATGTAAACTAGTACTGCATGTGCATGTCTTGGAATGTTCACCCCAATTCATCCTCCAAGAGTATACAGATATCATCAATCCAAGTATGCTGGTAGGTGTATAAACCTTATTTGCCAAGTTTGATATATTTGATCCATGATCAACCACCAGATTATAGCTGTATTGCCAATATGATATGCAGTCCTATTCATCCACGACGGGAACACGGTGCAAAGCAGGGTCCCAGTGAGCTGGACAAAGGGCGGGGCCTATGGTGCATACGTACACTTGTAGATACATTCTTTTTATGATTCTAGAGACATTGATATGCAATAAGACTCTGAGTGCCAAACATTAAATCTGACTTGCGAGTTTTGGTGGCCAAGAATTAAGTAAGTAGTGCAGTATTTTCCAATGAAGAGTGCAGTATTTTGCATGATGTGCAGGATTCTATAGGCATGTGCAGTATTTCCGGATTAGGTGTGCGGGCCTAATCTCGTCGGTCCTGGCATGCCATGACTACAGCGCAAAGGATGGATGAACCAGGGGCGGAGATTCTCATTGATGAACTTGCGGAGTGCTTCCAGCTCGTTCTGAGAACCAATGGGTGGTTCTTCACCATCAATAGTCTCGATTCTGAGATCAAACCTCTCAATTGGGTGGAAGGTTGAACACTTCCGTTTCCGAGAACACATCAGCATAGTCTTGATACTCAGGTGGTAGACGATTAACCTTAGACTTGGCTTGAGCTGCTTGAGCAAAGGCTTTGTCAGAAGGGACTGCATGTAGAGTGTACTGATATATATCTGTATCTACAATAATACAGTAATAAGCTGCAGCAGAAACAAGAGGAGTCTTGTATGTGAGAGTAATGGCCAGAGATGGAATGTCAGCCAAAATCAGATTGTCCAATACAGGACCAAGATTTTTCTGGCAAAGGGCGCGATATAGGAGCAACCGGAGGAGGTGGAATCAATTCTGATTCTGGAGTGTCATAGTAGCCAGTTTTGTTGACAAAGACTCCCTAGACGTGTTGGCTAGAGGGCAGATATATTGTAAGTATTAGTAGGATTCCCATGTTAGTAAGGCTTTGAAAGCAAGATGCTAGAAAATGAAATTACAGCTAATCCATAAGCAGAAGACTGACCAAGGTAGCATTTAATAGTGTTATCTATGATTCTAATGTTGAACCCCCCCTTGGAGTGGTGGAAATAAGTGCAAAAAATAATAATTTTTCTTTGGTATAATTCTATTTCTTTGTAAGGTGTGGAAGTGTAGAGTGGCCTACTGGTCGCTTTTCCTTTTATGGTAGTTACCGCTTTGGGCTGCCATCATCAATATTTGATGTGGCTATTTGTTTGTAGCTTACATCATTTTAATAATAACTTCTCCTGACCTGAACCGTTACCAAGTTCGCAACCAGTGTCGAAATAGCTCCACCCAGGGCAGGTTGCCAGTGAACACCAAGTATCCGAGCTGCAGATTCTTGCACTAGTTGAGTCCCGAAGCCCCGAGCCGAGCTACATGACTGGAGTGAGTGTTTGCAAATTTCCATTCATTTTCCTTTCCACTTCTACACGAATTCTTCCCCTCATTTCCCTCTGAATTCTCTCCCTTCGTGCACCCCAATCCCGGACAATCGACCACCAAATTCTGTTGAACTCTAGGCCAGCCTTTACTTCCTCAAAGGTCCCTCTATAATCTTCTTATAAGCTCGCCTAAAAAGACTGCCAGGGAAAATTGGATCTCATTGGGAGGTTTTGGCAGCTGATATGTACATGAAAATCTGAAAAAAAAAAGCTTATATTGCCAATCTATTCCTTACACTAAACCTGATTCCTGAACTGTGGACCAGGCTGATCTTTGGGTGTCCCCTTTAAGGCCTGCAAGTTATTCCTCGAACACGCACACTGGTAGCTCCATCATCGTCAATTGACCCTGCCCGCCGGCATGTGCTGCACAACAGTGCGACAATGTCGACTGGCCCACGGGCCAACGTGAAACACCACCGCCAAGTGTATATACAGTGCGCTTGGGTCGGGTCGGGCGGGATCGGGACAGGGACAGGGCGAATTGACAGTGTAAATCTACTAATCAAGCAAGCATCCGCTGCGATCGTCCGTCCGGCATGTCCGGTTCCCCGCCCCGGGCCCCCGACTGCTTTGGCGTTGACTCCGAGCCAACTCCGAGCCTGTAACTACGACGTCGTGTCCCCAACGACGGCCAAAACACGTTAGAAGAAAGCTAAAAAGGAACAGGAGCTTCTGCTAGATCCGAGTCCCGACCCGAAGGCAAAAAAAGAAAGCGATAGCAAGTTCTTCACTTTTCACGGACCCCGGCCCGGATCTTGTTCGGCTCATGGCTCATCACTTGAGATTTGCACCCGACATCTCCCGACAATGTCTCGGAGTAATTGACGTCCATGACTGAGTGGCGCTGACACGGTCCGACGATGGGTCGCCACATCGCCCTGCGCGTCATCGGTCGCGTCGTCTCTGACGCACGACCACAGGTTTCTCCGGAGGAGCATTCAAACAGTGAACAGCGGAAATGGTGATTCATTCTTTGCTTTGACTATATGTGCACTGTATGTTACTATATATGTACGACAGTAGATAAATGTGAGATAAATTGCTGAGACTAATAACGAGGGTGGTTCTTGTGATATGCAATGCAACTTGACGTGTAGGTGAATCGATGCGAAGGATATGAAGTGTAGAGATACAGCGCGCGGCAGCCGCGACCAAGTCGGCGGTCAAGCGGGTTCTGCGGCGTTGGGGGCCAACAGGCCAGAGGCGAAAGGCGCTACTCGTGTTCGCGCGGATCGTGAGGCGAGACGACACTAAAATAGTTAGGCGACGTGTATGCGGGGATGGTGTGGGCGGTGGCGGATAGGAATCGGTATTGGGAAGGCGCGGATGAGGTCGTTGAACCTGCCCTTCGGCTGCGAAGGCGCAACGTCCACGGGCACATCGCGCGGCACGTGGATGGGGGTCGGCGGGGAGAACGAGCCGAAGGACGAGCCCGGGGAGCTCGGGGCAAGCTCGGGGACGGACACAGACGGGGCGTGGCGGGTGTGTGTGCGGACAAAGGAAGTGGGGATATGTTTGGCGGGGAAGGCGACGGCCGTCAAGGCGGAATGGTGTGCGAGGAGGTCGGCCTCCTTGATGGCCAGCTCCCAGTTGAGCACCTCGAGCATCTCGCGCTCTATCCGCCCCACATCGCGCTTGCCGAAGACGCCCGTGCATAGGGCCCAGTGGATGTTCTTCAGCGTCGAGTCGTTTGTGTATTTGGAAGCGACGATAAGCGCGCCCAGGAAAACACGCTCGAGCGCCCACTCCTCGAGGGCGATGGACAGATGGGGGCGGGCACGGGAGATGTAGACGAGCGCGGCGAGGACGGTGGCGGGGGTGACCTCAGCCCTAGTCAGGACGTTATCGACGAAGGTGGTGAAAGAGGTGATGTAGCGCGACGAGCTCCGGCCCCTTGGTGTGGAGGCGCGGCCCATCGCGAAGTCGACCGTCTCGACTACAGATTCGATGAGGTATTCTGAAAGAGCACATGAGTTGGGGAAAGCAAAAAAACAAAGACAGGCGACGCACCGACGACGGGCTTTGTCAGTCGTATATCGATGAGCTGCATAACAGCAGGCGAGTGTGTGGCGGGGTCGACGAGCGAGGCCGCGTGGATGGGCGACGAGCTGGAGCCGGAGGCGTGCATCTGCGTCAGGCGGGAGGTGCGGAAAGTGGGTCGGAGGCAGCGCAGCCCGCAGCCCCCTTATATACCGCCCTTATGATAGTGAAAGGAAAAATGTCAATGTCGTGGCAGGAGTCAAACCCGGATGCGGATGACTCACGCGAGCCGAGCCAGCTCAGATCCCCGATCGCCGCTTGCGTAGGTGCGATGTCAGCGTGGGGCGGTGAGCTGCTGATGTCCGTCAATTTAGCCGACGCGCCCGGTAAGTAACAGCACGACATCAGCAGTTTGTGGCTGGCGCACGACTTGCGTGTGCTCTGCGACCTTTGCCGCATCCCGCGCGTCGAGTGGCTGCAGCGCTGGCGTTGTCAGCCGCTCACAAATCTCCTTTCTCATCGATTTATCAGCAGCGAGGAGAAAATCCACCGGGGATCAAAGACACGTTCGCACACGCCGTCAACGATGACGCGCCGGCATATCGGCGGCGCGCGTAAGCCCTGCCACGTCAACGCTCTTTCCTTCTCCCCTCATCCAAGTTCCTTACCCCGCGCTGACGGCCTGAGTACCGTGCCCCGCTTCCCGCATCGTGGTTGGCGGAGAGTAAGCCCTGTGGAGACGGACGCGGAGAATCTCTGGGCCGCACGGTCACCGTCGCCGACACTAATTACTGGCATCGGGCGGCGCCGGGTGGGGCAGACGATGCCTCCGCGATGGGCGGGGATTGCGCATTAGAAGCAACAGTGAGTAAGCGCAGTCTTTGCTACTAGTCTCCAGAGAGCATCGCGACATCCGTGCATATATAGTGGCGGCCCCATCTAGCACCGAACGGTGTCCCCGCATGTGTCATCACGTGTAGATTCGGTCGAGCGGCCCGCAGACCAGATGTGGCGTTTTGCCTTGAAGTTGTGTCGGCCGGTCTAACCCGCACGAAACGAGCGCCTCACTGTACACGGTCGTATAGCCAGCTCCAGCATAAAAACTTCTGGATTTTCAGCTACCCACGGTTTATTGCATGCCAGCGCATCGAACGCACGGCCCATGCGTTGGTTGAGATCGTGAGCCGGGACGTAGACGAGGAGCCTCGCCACGAAGTATCCGGTGGACCGGCCGTACAGTGTCGACACGGACCCAGCTCATCGATCCCGCGTCCATCCTCGTCCATCGTTTACTGCCAGCTGCCGACCGTGCGTCAGATGATTCGAGTCAACTTCCGCCCCGCTGCTCGGATGATCGCCGACACAATTGCAATCGGCGTCGCGAGCTGACACCGTTGCGACGCCCTATCGCTAGGCAGTGGGCGCTGATCGGTCCCTGCGGACGCAGGCGGCGGAGGGACGCGCACACGCGATCGCAACGCAACCATGTGCCGACGACGAGGCGCCGACCTAAATTAGACACCGGACTGGCGTTCGCTACGCATCTGTCGGGCATGGTAGGGATCGAGGTGTCGATTACGCATCAACTGGCCGGATCAGTCTTGTCTCCGATATCGCCGCCAGGTAGTATCCGGTACCCTGCGTCAAGGGACGCTGGCTGCAGGCGGGAATGCTCGGCATCCCCTCGGAGAAACACGGCACACAGTGGCTGTGTCACGTGTACATAACGCGTCTTCTCCCGAACGTCCATGTCGGGCGTCGTGATTCACCAATTGTTTCCGTCGCTCTTCGAACATATCACGCCACCGTCCATCACCACTCGTCAATGAGCCAAGCCAGCTCAGTTGTCAGACACCCGAGGGCCTGCCAGCATAGCAATTTGTGATATTGCCCAGCAAGCATTGGACGCTGGTCGCTCGCCATAGAACATCTCATAGAATCTGATAGCTTCGCCCGGCACTAGGCCTGAGCCCGGCCCACGATAATCGTCTTATCGATCAATCCTATCCGATGGCCCGCTCGCATTCCCGCATTTTCGATATCAAGATCGACGAGCCCTTCTGTTCGCGCCGTCGAATGCAATTAGGCGCCTCGCCACTCAATTTCGCCGGTCCAATTTGCGGAGTTTGTGCAGATTAACCCCGCCCGTGCCCAGCATGTTCAAACCATGCACAAGGCTTCAAGATTATTCCAAATATTCAGCCATTTGATTTTTTTGGCATATCACCGATGCAGACAGGTGCCCAAACAACTGTCCACTCAGCCGACACAGCTGGATTATGAGCTGAGAAAATATGATGTATAAAATAATGATTAGAAAAAGCAAGAGCCCTTCAAACTGCTCCAACTTCAACTAGTACTGGCCATTATTATATTCACACTGGAGTTCCAACCAAAGAATGGTCCCCTAAGCAGGATTTATATATATAAGATAATGGTCCAAAACAATCTCCTTTTTTGCTGCTTTGATGGATATGCAATAAAAGTTCTAAAAATTGTATCTGATTTACAAGAAATCAAGTTCTATATCATGGCATCAAATATCGCATACTGTAGTAATTTATTCAATTCGGCGTCCAGATTTCGTGTGACATCAATGCCGAAATTAAGATTTCGTCATCGTCGGATCAAATGTGTGACCGCCGAAAATTTTCGTCATCCTCCCATCCCGTCCCCAGGCTATTGACAAGAACTCGTGGTGCCGGAGATGCCGCTGACCAAAGAACGCCTGGAACTTCTCGCATTGCCCCAACACCTTCATCAAAGTCTTCTCCCGAGCTCGCGGCTTAGCGTCGCGCAGTTCCTGTCATTCCCGCTAACTCCACTTCGAGCATCGACCCACTTCGGTTCTTCAGAAAGCTACTTGGTCTCTTCCCAGCCCACCAGCACGACACAAGACTTCTCCAAACTCACAGCCCCCCCGACTTCTGTCATTCGCACACTCTTGGCAGCTGTCACTCAGGCTGATGAAGAAGACGAGTACAATGCAATTGCTTGTCCACATGTCCCGGGAAGCCAGGAATACTACCCTCTATACCTTCTTGTATACTGGGCAGAGCTCATTGAGCTCCACGCTACTGCCCATAAGTGGCGTATGGGACTTGCACAGCTCGAAAAACGCCTAGCAAACGACGCTTTCGATGGCCTTGCTCGAGATGTCCGGGACACAATGTCCAAGGTGTCTTGGGATGCCGACATCAAGGGCTTTCAAGAACGTGTCTCCATCTCAACGCTTACCCACTTTTGTACCCGCGATTGGCTTCGGACATCACACATTAGGCCCTGCTCGGTGTCACCGGGTTCGAACCCGTTGCCAATCTGGCTAGCGCGAGGCAGTCTCCCACGTCTTCGGTAGGCCATCAAGGTGCATCATGACAGGCCGGAAGTGGGCGGATGTGTCTAAAAGCATATTAGTCATGTATTTAAAGTAGATCAAAAGGCTCGTTTCTTCATTCCCTCCCCCCTTTTAACGCGTTTTTCGGCCCGGATTTGGCACTATGCCCTCGGGACCCTCTCGTGACACGTCCAGGTCCTCCCGTGACGCGTCCAGCGCTGCACAACATGCCCTATTGGCCCAACAAAGGGAAAAGAAGAAGCAAGCACTGGCACAGCAACGACGGTGTGTTGCGCTGGTGTCTATTGTGTGTATGGTTGCTGCATTCACAGTCTCATTTGGCATGACGCTCACCGACCCCATCCCATTGAACACGTCCACGCTTACAGGGCAGATCTGGGTCGACGAGCTTCTTGTTGGCAGCGACATCCGTTTTTATCGCCAGCTGGGAATGGCCAAGCATGTCTTTCTTCGGCTTCTATTCGAACTCCAACTGCATTCTGGGCTTACGAATTCGAAGCACGTTACAGCCACAGAGAAACTTGCAACATTCTTGTACTTTGCTCGGGTGGGCTGCAGCTTGTGCGTCCTCCAGGAGCGCTTTCAACGGAGTGGAGAAACCATCAGCAAATCCATCCACACTATTCGTAACTGCCTGACTGGGTCCTTCTATACAAAACATATCCATCTACCACCGAACAGCACCCCACCGGAAATCAAAGCCACCCGGAAATTCTACCCATACTTCCGTGAATGTCGTGGCGCAATCGATGGCTGGCACTTCTCTGCTTGGGTGCCTTCGGGGGCGATGCTGCGGTATCGTAACCGCAAGGGCTTCATCGGACAGAATATTCTTGCTGCCTGCAATTTTGCTCTTATTTTTGTCTATGTGCTTGCAGGCTGGGAAGGAAGTGCATCAGACTCACATATCTTTAATTATGCACGTGAGCACGACTTTGCTGTTCCCCTGGGCAAGTTCTATCTTGCAGATGCTGGGTTTCCGCTCTGTGATGTTCTGATGACCCCATATCGCAATATCCGTTACCATCTCAAGGAATGGGGAAACGTGAACCAGCGCCCTTGGAACTATAAAGAACTATTCAATCTGCGGCACGCTCAGCTTCGGAATGCAGTCGAGCGGATATTTGGCATTCTGAAACGTCGCTGGAGTATCTTTACTGGTGGCGCCCCGAGTATTCCGTCGAGACCCAGGCCCAACTCATCTCCGCCATCTGTGCACTTCACAATTTCATCCGAGTCTATGATGGCGAGGATGATGGTGCGGAGCCCCAGGACGAATCAGCAACCACTGCCCCAATCCATCGAGAAAGCTCCTTGCAAGATCTTATTGTTAACCCAGCTGAGCCCAGAGTCTCTGCAGAGGAACTAGGATGGTCTATCAGCACAGAGGAACGTACCCGGGCATCGGCCAGGCGCGACGCAATTGCACAGAATATGTGGAGAGATTACAAAGCCTATATGCTCACAAAAGGTATTCGGATTCACGAGGTCGCTCTAGAGGAATAGATACCACTATAGTCTATTCATAACTACCCTACGGTGCAAACAATGTACTCTCTATAAGGTCTTGGACAAATTTCGTACGCAGAGCCTTTGTTTTCGGTGCAATATACAGCTGGGCCACCTTTGAATCCTTCATGAAAAGCTTCATCGCCTCGACACTCTCGCTATCAGACAGGTCGTTGTCCTCCTCCATCACCTCCACAGCCCTCGCCAAGATCTCCGGACTGCCCCTCACCTTCAGAGCTCCTGCGATTTCGCGCATGGCAGAAGCCATGCTATTCGTGGCATCTGCGTTGCGGGGGTCATGATCGTCGGCCAGACTT